GTGCAGCGTTTATCAACGAGTCAAAGAATTGGGTAGTTTTCTAGGTCAAAAATAAATTAATTCGATGTTTCAATAGTATAAAATATTGAAAAATAACTATACTTTTATTCATCGATTGATCGATACACCAAGTTTTAGATTTCTTAGCTAATTTTTGTGAAATAAGTAAGCTATTTGACGCAAAAATGTTATGACGTCATAGCTCTGTTTTTCATACAAATTTCATAGAAAAGTATCGTTTTTGACGTTTGGATAAAAGTATTGAATTTGACTAGTTGGAAACTACCGTATTCTTACATGATACCTACAATAATTATTTGATTAATTGTAAGACAATTATATAATTTGATAAATTGTGACTATTGTATTAATTGTTTCCTTAACACAATTGCGACTTGTGATTACATATTTGGACCTTAGTGTGACATATTTTAATTTTGACATACCTACCTACAAATTTCATTTTTATATTTATAAACATTTAAGGGTGATAATTATAGTTCGTATGTTCATGTCTTATTAATAATTCTTTGAAAAATTTACTTTATACAAGTGGTTAATATGTATAAAGTGAAACTATATAGGTATTTTGTTTTTGATCGTCCTACATAGATTTACCTGCGTGTGTACGTATGTATACCTACCTACACATGTTTTTTCCAGCGGTCATTGGGGGAGGCCTATCTTTATCAGTGAATCTCTTTTGGCTGAAACGACGATGATCATGATCTTTATTCTATATTATAATAGACTAGCGTCCATCCGCGCATAGTTTCATCCAGATCCGTCCAGCCGTTTAGGCATAATTGAGTAATAAACATTCAAACATCGTAACTTTCGCATTTATAATATTAGTAAGAAGTAAGATATAATACTCAGTGCAATCTAGAAAGTGACATAGTACTTAAACAGGTGTGCGCCTGCGCTGCGCCCCAGGTGTAGTCGGGAGCAAGTGGCAGTCCCAAATTCCTTGACGGACGGCTCCTTATTGTATAACAGATCGTATTGTTAAGTCATAGAGTTGAAAATGTCTTGTGACAGAAATTTTACAAAAGATTTAGCTTGTATTTGTTCCGTTGGCGTACATGTGTGTGCTGGCTAGCTAGGGAATGGATGAAAATTTTTTATGGAATGCGAACAAAGTTTTAAATTTGGGAGAGCCATGTTTTGGCTCGACAGGAGTAACGCCACGGCCTCACAGAAAACTAGCGTGAAACAACTACAGACAGCGTTGTTTCGCCGTGTGAGTGAGGTAACTCGGTCTAAGGTCCGGTGGCCCAATTCTTCCTCCCCTAATCCCGAAATCTCCAAATCCCTAATCCTGAAAAAGCAACGTATTCCTAACTCCGTTGTCCATGGGCGGCGGTGATTAGGTACTTACCATACAAAAAAACATTTAGCTTGTTTTACCGTTGACATAGATGTGTGCGATGTAGGTATATGTCGGTCCCACTCGCGCGTTGCGTACACCACTCCACTAGTCATGAAGTCAACGCGCTATGATTAAGACGTCGTCGTTCGGTAATCACTTAAAATTCGTTTGTTTAATTAAATTACCGCGATACGGTTCTTAAAAAAAAATTGTGTGAAAAGCTGTGTTATCTTACGTGTATTTAAACTACAGTGTTGTGTTGTGTTTGCCTTCTGAAAAATGTAAACGGTAAAGTTGTTTTTTTTAAAATATAAAACTAGCAAATCTCCCGCGTTTTTGCTCGCTGCTCTGCTCCTTAGGATCGTAGCGTGGTTATTTATAGCCCATAGCACTCGGAAACATTGCAGCTATTTAAGAGTGACAGAATTTTGGAAATCCGACCAGCAGTTCCAAAGGTTACCCCCTACATACAAACTTACAAATTACAATTTTTTTCTCTTCATAAAATTTGTATTGACAACTAGCGACCCGCCCCGGCTTTGCACGTGTGAAATGCTGATACTAAATTTCTCTACTATTTAATAGATGTTATCTATACTAATATTACAACGAGCTAAAATTTGTAAGTTTGTATGTAGGGGGTAATCTTTAGAACCGCTGGTCGGATTGCCTAAATTCTTTCACTGATACACAGCTACAATGTACCTGAGTGCTATAGGCTATAAAACATCACGCTATGATTAAATGGAGCCGAGCAGCGGGTGAAACCGCGCGAGAGTAGCTAGTTAGACATATTATTATAAATCTTTCTCTTAAATCACTGTAGGTATCTATTTAAAAAACCGCATCATAATCCGTTGCGAAGTGTTAAAGATTTAAACAAACATAGCGATATAGGAACAGAGAAAGCGAGTTTGTTTTATACTATGTAGTAATAGCAAGATACCTTATATGTATATTGAGCCGGCACGGCCTCACAGACTTACCGAAAGGCCAAACCGCCCCTCCCCCAATACTTGAATCTCCAAAAAAGTTCCCAATTTATTGTTACGGGTCTCGGGAATCCGTCTGCCCGTTTGCCGACCTATTACATAAAAAAGACTAGAAGACTAGGTAGTATTCATTTTTATTTTATTTTATGTAAACCTAACATAGTAAAATATCTTTTTTTTATGGTATAAGTCGGCAAACGAGCAGACGGATTACCTGATGGTAAGCAATCGGCGCCGCCCATGTACACCCGCAACACCAAAGGAGTTACGAGTGCGTTGCCGGCCTTTTGGGGATGGGGGTTGCGGATATAAGGATTGGGAAGGGATAGGGGAAGGGGAGGGATTGGGCCTCCGGTAACCTCACTTACACGGTGAAACACAACGCTGTGGGTTGTTTTACGCCGGTATTCTGTGAGGCCGTGGTATCACTCCGGTCGAGCCGACCCATTCCGCATTCGTGCTTGGCTCTCCCACACTTAAATATCTATCCTATATGATACAATATATCCAGACTGATACCAATACTTTCGGTATTTTACCGATATATGTAATAAAGTAATATTTTCTTTCGAAAAGATAACGTCCGCCATATCTTGACAATACACCACATAGATGTAGGCAGATTTTTTATTGATGTGAGATTGCCATTTGACTTTTTCTGAGGAAGCAATCTCACCAAATGGCTTCTCCCATCCTGGGCGGGGAAAGAGGGAGTGTCAGGCTTTTACTGACCTGCTAATCCCCCCCCCCCTTCACCCCTTCTCCGAGCGTACGGCGCGAAGCGTTCCGCGCGCGCATCAAAAAGCCAATAGACCACCACAGACGGGGCCCTATAGAGCTGAAGATCAGCCGGGGTTGCAGGGCAACCGCAATGAGGCACCGCGACCTCGGCCCAGAGCAGGAGAAGAAACGGGGGGCTTTTAGTCAGTAAGAGTCTGACACTTTCTCTCGCCTTACCCTGGGCAAGCGAAGTCATTTGATGATTTTCCCCTCCCAAATTGCCCTTACACCTGAATTAGGATGGAGAACTGACTGACAGTACTCCAGGCTTCCACCCCCAATCAATCAAATCAATTTTATGATGTAATGATTACATTCAGTTTACATTTGACGTATATTAATAAAGAAAGAATAAACATAATTAGTAGGTAGGTTGTTGTATAGGTATGAATGTTATCAAGATCCGTCCAACTGCAATTATAAGTAAGAAAAATTAACCGCTTGTAACGATGTAGGTACTTTTAATGATTGTTTGACGTTTTCTGTCAATTTGGTAGGTACACATGAAGTTAATCAAAACCAGTATAAACCCACCGTTATAAGTGCGGAAGGATCATACAAAGCTAGACTAGGATATACTGGTTGGTTAGTTTCTCATGCGTGTACCATAAGCTGGCATTAGGAATCCCAAACAATAAGGTTCATGGCGCAATAAGGTACCTAGTCATTCATATCCCTGTTACGAATCAGAGGCATTATTGTTTCAGTTTTTATATTGTGGCTTTCTTAGCCATAAAATTTTATTCCCATGTACATAAAACTGCGCACATTTTGGATAACAACCGACCGCTGGTATTGATAACAATCCTGCACAACAGGATGCGTGTGAATTTGATAATAGACCTCCGACTTGATAGCCGCAATGTTGGTACTGATATTTCATAAATGGGTAGAGAAAAGTGACACTCATTTCTTTTAATTGTAACAGTAGCGATGGCCGAGCCAGATAGGCAGAGAGTTTAACTAATTAGCCTGTTGCAGCGAGCAAGGGTAGCTCGCCGTTCGACCTGAACCAGACCCGAGCGTACGGCGCGTTTCGCGCGCGCCTCAAAGAGCCAATAGACTACCACAGATGGGGCCAAACAGGGCTGATATTCAGCCAGGCACGCGGGCCAAACAGGATGGTTTTTATACAGTACGAGTCGGAGACTCTGCCACTGCACGCAGCGCGAGAGTCAATTGCTAAAAAATGGATGCTGATTTTATAAAGAATTTTAATCTGAAACGCCAATATAGCCTTTGTTAAAAACACATCTTGCAATAGTGGATAAAAAATAAATTAACATTAAGTAATACAAATAAGAGTTATCCATTCATCCATTTTAATGTACTAAAAATACTTGTTTTAGTCGTAAACTAGTTAGGGGTGAACGAACACAAAATAAAGCCATTACTTCGATTAGACCTCGTACTATTTTTATTAGAATTTAATCGTGATTAAGTTAGTAAGAACGGTAAGTTTTTCATAGCAGCGGTAAGACCCCTCTTTGATGAGTGCCTTGAGAGGAGCCATGGCGTCCTCACCTTCTTCGCTGTATCCTCAGGGAAGTGGTCGACGGCGGCGGCCTCTCGCCGGATCCGAAACAGGAACCGAAGCTGCCGTGCCCGGTAAGCACCTGCGCCAGGCGGAAGGTGAGGACGCCCTGCCGCCTCAAGCCAATCCTCAAAGAGGGGCGTTACCGTGGTATAACGGCGTGCCCGGCCCGTGGACACCTGCAACAGCAAATGTGTGTGTAATATGTATGTATGTGCAACAAGTGCGTTGCTGGCCTTTTCTAGATTTTTGAGATGTCAGGATTGGGGATGGATGGGGAAAATAAATGATTTTTTAATAAATTCTATTTCATTCGTTACAGGTAATCATCTGCTGATTACAAAGTTCCAATGCTACATGTCCTTGCACGTTGGATGCGGTGCTCGAGCATGTGGTCAACGCGATGTCTTGGAATGTCCGGGCCACCTGTAGCCGACAATTTGGGAACAAACTATCACTGATAAAATTCTTCTTCTTTATCAGCTTCACTAATTTATTTGCTTGTTTATACTGGGCCCAAGAAACAAATATACAGCAACAGACTTCTGTCACTGACAGTTTGGTTCAAGAAGCGATCGAAAATGTCGGACGTGATTATAGATATGAGAACGTATACAGAAAGTTGAACGCCCTTCCCAAAGATTTCAAATACATTCTTTTGTGGACTCGTAAAGACTACGCTCCATTCTACTTTTATGGCGAAGGACAAAGAGCCTTCCTCGAGAACGATTGTGAGCAGATCAAATGTTACGTAGCCACGGATAGAAAATTCTTTGGACATGACCTGACTAAGTTTGACGCTATCGCCTTCAACGGACGAAATATGAAGTCAAACGACTTGCCCTCAATTAGATCTCCCCATCAGCAATACATATATATCAACATGGAATCTGCTGATAACTATCCCGTTTGTGATAAAGCATTTAATGGTTTTTTTAACTGGACCTCCAGTTATAGACTTGATTCTGATATTCGATGTGGTTACATAGTAATCAGAAACAAACAAGGTGATATTGTTGGTCCAAACCAAAAAATGTTATGGGAAAAGAAGCCCACCACAATAGACGAAGAATATATTGACATGAGTAGAGTAAAAAATAAAACAAAAGCCGCAGCTTGGTTCGTGTCCAACTGCCGAAGTAGAAGCGGCCGACTTAGTTATGCCAAAGGATTAATGAATGCTTTAAAACCATTCAACTTAACAGTAGATGTGTACGGCAAGTGTGGCAAATCACGTTGTCCTACAACAGGAGCAAATAATTGTAGTCACTTGTTGCAGCACGATTACTATTTTTATATGTCAATGGAGAACTCTTTCGATGAAGACTATGTGACGGAAAAGTTGCTGACGGCATTACATAATGATGTTGTGCCCATAGTCTATGGAGGAGCAGATTACACTAGGTGTGTATGAAATAAACTAATTTACTTTGCTTAACGACATAAAATTGTTAATGTTTTGTTTCTCATGTATTGATAAACCTCGGTCTCCTGATTTGTTTATAAAAAATATTTTTGAACAACAGCCCATATCACACATACCTGCTTAACTAAACATAAACATTATTGTTTGGATTACATCATTGTGGAATGTATATGGCTAAATTGAGTGCTAGAATGCTAGAGAGTTATCAGAGCTATGAATCTATTACATCTATACTATAAATTACTAATATTATAAAGAGGTAAAATTTGTAAGTTTGTATGTAGGGGGTAATCTTTGGAACCGCTGGTCGGATTGCCAAAATTCTTTCACTGATAGATAGCTGCAATGTTCCTGAGTGCTATAGGCTATAAAACATCACGTTACGACTAAATGGGGCCGGTGAAACCGCGTGAGAGTAGCTAGTTTATTAATATTTTGACAACCTCAACCAAATATTGTTGGACTACTATTTTCACAATATATACCTACTAAATGTGCTATATACATGGCGAACCGTAAACTAACATAAAATATGCTTCCATTATTTGCAAATAATAATAAGTTAATTTATTCAGGTAACTGAGATCCTTTAAGAAGTAAAATAAAAAACAAATTTTATAAGCAATAGTAAGCAAGGACTTAGTCCGCTGTACTAATTTCCACATTATGGGACAATCAAGCTTATCAGCTATAGCACTCAGGATACTTTGGCGACTTCCACGTAACTTTGCGCCATAACGCAGCGAAGCTATCAGTATGAGCATCAGCAAACATTGCTGATGCACTACAGAAACGTGGAAGCCGCAACAGCAACCTAAACGCATTGTTATACTGGACCCGCAGAGCATTGGCAGTTCTCTGGGTGTAGTTGACCCACAGAGTTATTTTAACTGCGTCTGTACAACGAGACGAAATAAATAGAATATAATAAATAAATAAAAAAAAAGAATAGCTGCGTACCAACATATTAGCACGAAATGAAACTATTAAAAAAAAAGATTAAAAATACTAATAATCAAAACGATAAACATCGCAAACATATGATGTTTAATAACTAACAAAAGTGAGTTCATCTGGATACATCTATTAAAGGTCTACTTTATATATATAGAAAACTTCAAATTATACGATTAATCTATTCCAATTTAAATATAGTTTTAATAATCAATGCAAATGCCTTCCGTATGAACAATAAAATATAAGGGCCTAAAACAGTTCCTTGCGAAACATGCATGGTTTTTCTTTGTACTTCTGCTAAGGTGTAAGCAATACATATTTTTGGGTTACTCAAAATTAAGTTTTAAAATCATAAGGTCTATCTACAGGGTCTACTATCTAGGAAGCTATTTTGTTAATGACTTAATGATTAATAAAGCACTTAGATATATACAATCCACAATATCAAAGGCTTGATAAAAATTTAAAAACAAACCCTAACTTTTATTTGATGTATGTATGTTTACCTCCTATTCCATAGACAATGTCATAAATTTTTAACCTTTGTTGAGAATTGAATCAATATGTAGGGGCTTAAAAATTGGAAATTGTCCTTCCAACAATTTGATCCATACTTCCTGAGACAGCCTGTATTGTACGTTTTTATCAATTACAAGTTTTGATGATATTGTTTCTCTTTTATTTTCAGATTTCTTCCCCCGGGAACTTATATCGACGCTTCGAAATACCATGTTACAGAATTGGCCACCTTGATGAACAATTTAATACATTCCCCCAAGTTATACAATCAATATTTTTGGTGGAAAAAGTTTTACACATACCACAATCCCCTTAAGGAGAACGTTTGCGGATTATGTTCAGCTCTTCATAATGAGAAAATGCTTAAAAAAATAACGATTTACGAAGATTTTCGGAGCTGGTGGTATCCTAAATATAAAAAACGGTGCCATTAATTTCACCTAGTCACGTGATGTGTGAAGAAGATTCCAACTATATTATAACTCGGCCAGGCTGGACTACGTCACATTTCACATAGATATAATTTACCCTGTTGATCACCATCATTAACAACAACACTGAACTTCCGAGAGGTCAAATGTGCTTAATGTTTGAGTACCCTAATTCTTATAAACTGAGTATTTATTCTTTAAGTTTCATTTAAGCTTTATATTTCTCTGATTGGAAATAACGTTGAAAATGTAACTAAACGAAATGGAAACACGACAAAAGAGAAATTAATCTCACTAAATACTTCTCTAAACTGGTTTTGCCTAGATAAAAATAGTCGGAGAAACAGAACATAACAAGGCAATTCAATATGGTAGACAATGATATTATAAGTAAAAAAGTGTAGATAGGTTACAAGCGGTCACCAAGTGATACATTAAAATGTGGCTAACTAGCCACACTTTTTCATATTTGTCTCTTTTTCACTCGCGATTATTGAATCATGCCATCTCACTTTGACGTCTTAACATACGAATTGTTCATGTGTGTATCAGTGTGTGGTTTTTGGAAAATGGAATTTTGTTTAGGTATTATGCGGCCGTTGTATCTTGGCGAGTCTGAAGTTAGCCGAGTAGCTGCGCAGTAGGTACACAATTTTGTTCATAAAAGATCCATTGCGCAGACAAACGGCTAACTTCAGACTCGCCAAGATACGTCGGCCGTACTGTAACCTACCTATCTATCTACACCTCGAACCCTAGTTGCAGAAAAAGGGCAGGCGTAGCTAGGCTCATTTTTGGTCGTCGCCTTGCACTACTTTAGGTCTAGCATACCTAGTTAGTCCTTAAGTCGTGTTTGCCCGGTTACATATACATTCCATTTGTTTTTAATTATCCTATGTATGATTTCTATATTGATTTACAACAAAGTATTGAGAGATCTAGGTAACTTTGTGTGCGCTTTATGCTCCAATTCTACCCTATTTCTGGACAAATATAAACAAAGGTTCGGTACCTAACATGTAATCAGTATTTATTTATGTACCTCTGAAACAAAATGTGAATATGTACTTACTATAAATAATAATAATTGTACGTCTTTCAAAGACATGGCTTCCGTTATTTTAGTCTGTGGTTTATCTTAAGTAATGTAATAAACAGCTTTACATTTTATTATACGAGATTGAAGAGAACGTGTAACTTGTAAGTGAAACTTGAAATTAATTATAGCTTCATTTGTTCATACATTTATAAGGTACTGTTGTAAAACCGGGCTTTGTTCTTGATAAGCGCCATCTGTTGAGACAATGAAGAAAACCGAGCAGGAAAGATGATTATGTTTATAGTCTATTTATTATTACATATATACAATACGGTAGTACAGTATAAAAATTATAACTGTGACGGTAGTTTCCTACTAGTAAAAATCAATACTTTTATCCAAATGTCAAAAATGCTAATTTTCTATAAGACTTCTATTAAAGTCCCAATTAGGTATGACGCCATAGTATTTTTGTGTCAAATAACTTACTTATTTCCTAAAAATAAGCTAAAAATATATATTGAAAATTCGTTGTATCGACAGATTGATGAATAAAAGTATATTTATTAACTATTACACACTCATGTCAATAATCTTCCAAAGAATGATAGTGAAAATTAAATCTCATTTTTATTGAATATTGTAACCGGCACGAACCATGCCAAGATGTTGTGTATTTCTTATAAGATTTCGAGTTTAATACCTAAAGGGAAAGGCTGTTTTGTAAGGAGAAATTCCGCAAATGATTTCTCTCACCCAGGGTAAGGCGAGCTAAGCATATCTCAGTATATTATAATATTATATAAAAAATATTGATTTACAATTACTACATATCAAAAAACAGAGTCGGTATCTCTGTCCCTATATCCTCATGCCTTTTAAGTTGGAGTGATTGAAGAGGAATAATTATCATGTATAAAAAGTCCATCAGTATCCAATAAATTGTAAAGAAATCTTGTATCATATACAAATGAGAAATTATGATAAAATCTTGCCATCGTTGGTGCCGGATATTTAACTATACCTAGTACTTAAGTTAGTTTTACATTGTTATGTTACCTTTTAAGTCTATATTTCTTACTTGTTACATTTTGCTCGACGAAAACAGGAAAGTATTGTACAAAATAAAACAGATTTTTTTATCTTAAAAATAATTTGTAGGGTTAAATTTAAAGAAAGAAACTATAGGGATGTCATTGAATTCTTATGTGACTGGGTGACTAAAACCAAATAAAACTAAGGAAGGTCAACCAGTCTCAACGAGACTGACGAGTCACTCGATTAAGAGGGCTACCGTTTTTGTTCACTAGATAGGGCTAGTGCGGAGCGGTCGACTTTTCGTCCAAAAATAGGAAATTGGCTAGCTTATTAGAGCCCCAATAAAAATTACTGTTAATTTTTAAAGAGCTACAATTATTTGACAATCTGTCGGTTTGCAAGAGTAGCGACATCTGGTAAGCAAAATAAACGGTAGTACCTATTTCATCGCGTCGTCTTAATTTCTGACAAGTCTTCAGTTGTACCTACTTAAAGTAAGTTTGTTTGTATGCAAATCCATACCAGATTGAGATTTTTTTTAATTTTCGCAACGGTAGGTATCCATAATTTGTTTAGTGTTAGCACAGCGAAATATTAAATTGTTTACCTACTAAGAATTCAATAACACCTATACATATATGAAGAGCGTCTAATATAGAGGTACCTACTTTAAAAGACCTAATTTGCAATGTGTTGCGTTTTAAGTTATATTGCAATTTTGATATAAATATTTTGATGAAGAAAAAGCCATTTATTCACATAAAATAACAAAAGCATGCACGCTCATGTATAAGAGTCCCATTGTGGCTTGATATCAAGGTACTTGTTGAGCTTTTCTTTTGTTCTACAGAAATTAATTAGTCGCGTTTGCTAATTAATGTATGTATGTCGTACTATATTATAGTTAGTATATAAAAATGTTTACAATACTATTTTTTTTAATAAATACTTAAACATCACAACCATTGACATAATTATGGACAACCCACCGGTGGATTATGGATTTCCACTACTGTCTTGAAATATTTTGCCATAACTTATTACGGGTAAGCAAATCACAGTTTAATTTTTAATTTATTTATTAATTAATTATTATTTCTGTCTAATACGTGCTCGTACCTCGTACCACATCTGTAAGGAGAGTTTAAATGACAAATGTAATCTATATCATCTCCTGTTGCCCTTGAAAATCAGGAAGGCGGCCAGTAAGCAGTCGTTTAAAGACTGGTTGGTGGAACCTTCGTCATAAAACCCTCATGTAATGTATTTACTGTGTATAATACTGTCACATAAATATGTAGGTATACTAATTATATATATATTGGAAAACATATATTTATTTATTATCTGTACCTATATTCTTGTAGATACATATTTATTGTTATGGTGTATTTTGCAATCGAAATTTATTGACTCCAAATTTTCTTCTTGTTGTGTCTACCATACTCTCTCTGAACCACCCTAAAGTTGACTGGTAAGAACGCCTAAGGCATTAAGTCCGCCGACGTACTTGTCGGCCACCACCGAAGAGCTTGTAGACAATAATTCAATCGAGCTACTAACATCCAAATAACAAATAACTTAATATTATGTTCGACATTAAAATTGGGGAGCCTTACAAATATTGGAATTTCACTAATAAGTACCAAAGTTTATTTAATACATAATTTCTTTAACCATTGTTTTGTAAACTGTATGTTTGTAGTACTTAATGTTAATGTAAGGATTTGTTATTAAACTGTATTACAATTTATTATTATTATTATTTATTGACAATAAATTATTGTGGTTGTAACCTCACATGGCGGAACGCAACGTAAGTGCTGCTCCTTTCGTCGTGTGAATGAGGTTACCGGAAGGCCAATTCTTTCCCTTCCCCAATCCTAAAAAATCCCTAATCCCCAAAAGGTCGGCAACGCTCTCATAGGTCCTCCGTTGCTTTCTATAAGGTCCCTATCCGGTATCCGTCTGCTCGTTTGACCAAAATATAAATATATAATTTTTAAGCTTTTTTATGGGTGTCAGTACCGTACTTTTTTATTAGTACTAGCAGCAAGTCACGAAGCAGGGAGAGCAAATGATAGTTCTGCAGTGCGTTTTAACTTTTTTATAATCCTTTGGTATTTTGTACAAAAAAAGTACAAATATCCAAACTGTTATGTCTGTTTGGCGATGGGAATTGCGCTAGGTATTTAAATACATATGTATAAAACATTGGAACAAACTCGATCTTAACAAATAGAAATTACATTGTTAGTAAATAACAACTGTAGGGTCGCTGGATTTGAAAATAAAGCCCCGTTGGAGACGATAGTATTGACAATTTGTCTTATAAGTACTAAGGGTGACAAAAATGCATGGAGAGCTTAAGGTCGACTATTGACTGACAGGTTTTGCATAATGCTACCATTGATAACTAGATGGCGCTGCTTTTAAATGAAAATAGCCCTGCAAAGCTTGAATACTTTACACTGCAGAGGCACACAATAAGGTTTTTAATGGTGAAAATAATAATTAAGAAACAATAATATATTTATATTATAAATACACATAAATTTATGTTAATTTTCTCATTTCCGAGGACTTAATATAGCGCCATCTAAGTCAAGTCAAGCAAACCAATTAAAAGATGGCGTCAATAATTAATAATAGACAATAATAAAAGTTATAAACTAACCCGCATTTTCGACATTATAAAAATGCGATCGATAGCTCTGATGAATAAGAATGATAGAATAATGAAGTCGAAGGGCACCGGTTCAATACCAGGTTATATAATTTTTAAATTCAGGTTTTTTAACAATGGTTTTTTTATATAAAATCAATAATAATAATATATAAATAAAATATTTGACGTTTAATATTTATAAAAGATAACAAAAATAAATATATATTTATATATGTATATATTATTTTAGAATAAAATTATATTAATAAATATATATAATAACTTTTATAATATGTGCTAACTATTAATGTAAAAGTAACATATTTTTCTTACAGATTAGGACTAATACTAAGTTTAATTTTCATAAAGGATAAATAGCAAATAAAACTCTTTTAGTGGCATTATAATTTCAGACATTTATTTCTTAAAACATAATATTTATTTCTTTCTTATATAGCGTATACCCTGACCTAATAACTTTTCAGCTAACTGACACATTATTTAATACACTTTTTATAAAATAAAAAAAATATTATTAAAAAAACAAAATACCCGACTGCACACTAAAAAAAGAGTAAAACAAGCCCAACAATACAAATTTACTGAATATAATTTATAAATGTTGATGGAAAGCATCGCAGGCGGGGACCAACAGAGGCTTATTTATAGTCATTTCTGTTGTGCACCATTTAGCAGAATTTTCGTTGGTGGCGGTCAAGGTGGTCCCCGCCTGCGATGCTTTCCATCAACATTTATAAATTATATTCAGTAAATTTGTATTGTTGGGCTTGTTTTACTCTTTTTTTAGTGTGCAGTCGGGTATTTTGTTTTTTTAATAATATTTTTTTTATTTATAACTTTTT